AGTTTAATTCAAATTGCTCTGGTGCTGCAACTACAAGTAAATTCAGCAATTACAAAAAAGTGTAAATGTTAGAGATGGAATATGATAGTTATAGAGATAGTTTTATCAATAATATAATTCAACATAAATACTAGTTTAGAACCGGTTCCACAAATTGAAGAAAATATTGGAATCTTGCTGTTTTAAAAAAAAATTAATAATGAATCAAAAGAATCTATTAAAAAATGAATTGATACTATGAAAATTATAGCCATAGTTAATGATTTTTGAAAAGTGACCCATATCTCAAAATGATTCATTGCAGATTGGCATTGAATCAGCCATGAATTGTTGGTTCAAGCCTTGAAATTCTAGTAAAATAAGTTTTCAGATGTTGTAGCGTTATGTTGCGAATGGAAAATTTAATACTTATTTTCTTTTTAATTTTTTTTTCTTATTTATCATTTTTGCAGGAAGCTGTTTTCCAATATGCCTAATTTACTATGAATAAAACAAATGTCTAAAACCTTTTTTTTTGTTTGGATCTTTTCATCACACCACGCACAAGCAATTTAAAAATTTATTCAAAACATATAGCACAGCAAACGTCTGTCCTTGTTTAAAATTAAATTTCAATAACCAGCAATAACAGCCATAACAAATAGTCCGGCAAAGCAAAACTTACGCCATGCATTTATTTACGCCATGCAAAAACGCCTTTTTTTAATTTCATTTACGCCATACAAAAACTTTTAGACGAAAAAATATAAGGGTTTTTTAATGAAACTTTATTTTTCTAGCGGAAAAAAACTGACTAAACGAAAAAAATCTCGAAAACGTGTTATAGGATAATATATTACAGCTTAAATTAGAGCCATTTTTTCCTCTACAAAAAAGCAAATTCTGAAAACTCAAAAAATCGCAGAAAGTCATCTGACATGTTAACCCGGCGAAATTTCCCTGTCAAACCCCATTGCTCAAGAAACTGAAAATATTTGCCAAGAACCTCTTCAAAATAACAATTGGCGCTCAGCCGACGAGCCGCTTGATGCTGTGCAAATAATGTGGCGCACTCTCGTATCCTGTAAGACTCGGGATCTAAAAAACCTTTTTCAACATCTGTAAATTATCGGCATTTTAAACAGATAAACATAAAAATAAGTAATATCCGAAAAAAAAGGTAAACATTTTCCGGTTAACCTGATATCAAAACGATCTCAACAAGGTTTAAACATTTTTGATTGCAAACTGGCCTTAATCGGACAAACCAGTACTTTCAAGGTTTTTTGTCCAAGAACTTTCGCTTTTTCACTTTCGCGCTATAATGACGTCATTAATTTAAGCGCGAACATCTTCCGCGCCCAAAGCAGCGAAAACGAGTGCGAGTTTCACGGCCGGTCGAGTTAGCTCCCCAGAGCGGGTGGGGACTACAGCGGATCGAGCTATTTTAATTTTTCCGTAATTAAGGGTTTTTATACGAGCCAAAGGGTAGTGTCCCCGTGGGCTGCGTTCTTCAATAATCTACAATAAACCCCTGTTTTTGAAATAACTTCACTATCGGAGTGCCACTTACTGCGTTTATTCAGCGCTGGCACCTAATCTCGAAGCCAACGACTCCAAATTGCATATATATAGTTTTCCATGGTCCAAAGGCTCCTGGAAAGAGAGAGAAGGGAAGCTAGTACCATTTCGGCCTAACAAAAGGTGATTAGGAGTTAACACCTCAAAACCATCCGGTCTTGCTTTTACTGATGTTATAGGGCAAGCGTTCAGTGATTTTCCTACGAGACAGAAAGTTGTTTCAAGGAATTCGGGAGCGAGCTTTCTACTTCCTACTATTGCGTAGAATACCCTTTTTAAGAACAAATTGTTTGCTAGTTTCTTTTCTAATTTTCGGAGTGTAGTTTTTCCTGCGAGTCTTTCTTCTATGCCATTTTTTGAGTTTCTAACTGGCTGCTGATGATAAAAACTTTTTACCATCTGGCCCTTAAGCGTTGTAAGATATGAAGCGATACACTTAGCATCTCGTAACTGAAGTGTAGTAATAAGACCAAATAGCAAAACTCATTTCAGTTCGGATTGATTTCTGAGCTGGATTAACTCGCCGCTTTCCCGTTCAAAAAGAAATTGTTCCACAGCGTGATTGCTTCAAATGACGGCTATTGTCGAATTTTACCAGATCAAGCAGTTGAAACCGAAGTATTTCAGTGTCACCTTTCAATCACATGTTTCAAATCTATATTTAATGAAAACTTGAATTCTTGAAATCAATGAACATTCTGGTATGCCGTCTTATGTTTTTGAAGGAAGCTGTTTCCCAATATGCCTATTTTACTATGAACAAAGCACATGTCTAAAGTCTGTGTTTTTTTGTTTAGATTTTTTCATCAAACCACGCACAAATAATTTAAAAAGTTATTCAAAACCTTCTGGGATTTTTCTATGCTACTTGCACGGCAAACGGCTGTCCTTGTTTAAAATTGAATTTCAACAAGCAGCAATAAACAGCCTTAAAAAATGAGCTAACAAAGAAAACGTTTAAATCAAACAAACTATAACAAAAAATGAGAAATTTGTGTTGTAATCAGGAACAGCAGCCACTCAAAAATCAAACTTAGGTTCTTTCTATGAGTCGAATTTTAGCTGAGTTATTCTTTCTGAACAACCACGAATTTCAAGATATCAAACAGTACAAACAAAAGCTACCAAAAAATAGCTAGCAAAAACTCGCTAATGAGTTGAAGTACATTGCAAGAGTTTTTGGCAAAAGTCATTCCCAGAACCGCACACGGCCCAAACCACATAAGTTTTCAAATTAGTATACTTATTTAAAAGGAAAAAACTTCCAGGGCAATCATAACAAACAGGCTGCCCAAGCAAAATTTACGCCATGCATTTATTTACACCACGCAAAAACGCCATTTATGTTTTTCATTTACGCCATGCAAAAACTTTTAGACAAAAACATTTTCATGGTTCATTGACGGAACCATATGTTTGTTTTAGAGGAAAAAAAAACAAACTAAACGAAAAAATCTCGATAACATGTTTCAAGATCAAACATTACTGCTTAAATTAAAGCTTTTGTTATTCCTCTACAAAAAAGCAAGTTCTGAAAACGCAGAAATTCACAGATAATCATCTGATTTGTTATCCCGGCGAAGTTCCCAGTCAAACCCCATTGCTCAAAAAACTGAAAATGTTTGCCAAGAACGTCTTTAAAATAACAATTTGCACTCAGATGACGAACCGCTGGATGCTGTGAAAATATTGTGGCGCACTCTCGTATCCTGTAAGACTCGGGATCTAAAAAAACCTAATCTCAAAGCCAACGACTCCAAACTGCATTGGCGTAGCTTTGCGCTCGTATATATTGTTTTCGATGGTCGAAGTGCTCCTGGAAAAAGAGAAAAGGGAAGCTAGTACTATTTCGGCCCTAACAAAAAGTGATTAAGAGTTAACACCTCAAAACCATCCGATCTTGCTTTCACTGATGTTATAGGACGAGCGTTCAGTGATTGTTGTTTGAGACAGAAAGTTGTTTCAAGGACTTCGGGAGCGAGCTTTCTACTTCTTATTATTGCGTAGATACCCTTTTTAAGAACAAATTGCTTGCTTGTTTTGTTCTGACTTTTGGAGAATGGCAGTAAATACCCGCATCGAGTTTCAAGCGTTAATAATCGATTATTTTACGATTTTAGTTCCAGTTTCACTAAAATTGAGAAACACTCGATTTTAATCAATTATTAATCGTTTAAAATTTCTTTTTTTAAAATCAAACTATAATTAATTATAATCCGTTATAATCGATTGTAATCGATAGTTTATTAGTCTATTTTCGATACAATTATAATCGATTCTAATTGATTGTAATTCTTTTGTATGTCCATTTTTTTCTTCGAAGGTGCATCTAAATTGCTTATATTTGATGCTTTTTGTGGACGTTGGTTCCTATGAAACCTGAGAATTTTTTTTTAATTTTCCAATTAATTCAAATTAATAAGTTTTTTTTTTCATTCCATCCCAATAAGAGTTGTTTTGTGATGCATATTTTAAGCTTTTTAAACACCAAGACATCAGCAAATTGATTTAGTTCCATGATTGATTCGGAAAAACTCTTTTTCATTTACCGCGAGAACCGTTCCACTCTTATGAAAGGATCTCTAAGGAAACTTTTATTTCGTGGTAAAACTTTGTGTTAAGATGAACCAAAGTTTTCAAGAGATCTATCTTTTAGAGATTTTCTTATTGACACAAAAATAATAACCCATTAGATATAATTCGAATATAGGAAAATTTTGGCAAAATAGGAGATTATAATCGATTAAAATCGATTATAATCGATTATAATTGATTTTAAGGGTTTTTAGTAAGAACTATAGTCAATTATAATCTATAATAATAACTTCACGATTATAATCAATTATAAATCCCTTAAAGACCTAATTTTGGTAATTATAATCGATCATAATTGTCAAAAAATCATCATAATAATCTGTTATAATCGATTATTTACGCCTAAACTTGGATGCGGGTAGCTTAGCGGAGTGTGGTTTTTTCCTCGAAATTCTTTTCTCAGCCATATTTTGAGTTTTTAACTGGCTGCTGATTACTTTTAATTTTTTTTTCATGTGGCTCTTAAGGGTTGTAAGCTATGAAGCGATACAATTAGCATCTCGTAACGTAAGTGTGGTAATAAGACCAAATAGCAAGTCTCAGTTCAGTTCGGAAGGATTTCTGAGCCGGATTAATTCGCCTTTTCCCGTTCTAAAAAGAGATTGTATCACGGCGTGATTGCCTCAAATGACGGCTATTGTCAAATTTTACCAGATCGGGCTTTTAAATTATAAAAAGAGGAGTATCTTTGCTGTTTTTCACTGTTTTTAAAACTACCACCCAACCTTAATACTTCAGTGTCATCTTTCAAATCACATATTTATCTCATCTTTATCTCAAAATGCATATTTAATGAAAACTTGAATTCTTGAAATTAGTGAACTTTCTGGTATGCGATCTTATGTTTAAAAATCAGCTCGATTCGCAAACAACGCAAAGGTGTTCAATAAACTTGATTCTCCTCAGTCTCTGCTGCCCAAATGTTGATTGAATAGTTAGGTTTCATAGTACAACAAATAACAATCGATCTGACCAAACAACGTGCCCAGTTTCCTAGATAGCGACTGCTCATCACTGGAAAAACCAAGAAATAAAACAAACATACCTTAAATTCTTCTAAAGAAGGCGTTCAACTGAACTTTGATAGATAGCTTTCGAAATTTAGTAAATTTTGTCTGTCAGCAACTGACAACTTCGAAACAATGAATGCCTCTTCTTCATTATTCACTGGCTGTGAAGTTGTGATAGTTACTGGTGCAAGCTCTGGTATCGGGGCAGCCACAGTGGTCCGGCTTGCTCATAGAGGAGTGAGGAAGTTCTGTTTGACCGGCAGAAACGAACAAGGACTGCAGAAGACGAAAGACGCTGTCATCCGGGAGGCCACTAAAGATGCACAGTTTGTTGACGTGCTAGGTTTGAAAAACTTCATTCCTTTCGTTTAAAAACTTTATTCCTTTCGTCGTTTTGTCGAACTTTTGTAGAAAATGAATGTAGATTTGGTTTGTGTCAATTTGTAACTAAGAAGCCACATGTTTCACATTTTTGAGAGCTAATGTGAATGGTTCGTTTTCAACATACTTTCGAGATTTCAGGAATCAGGTTACAAAACGGAACATTGGTTTGGGCTGAGTGATACCGTATATTAGCCGCAAAATGTTTGGAAACATAATTAGCCCTAAAAATCTAATGCAAACATTTGTATTCTCAGATAAACTGTACAACATACCCCCCCCCCTAATCACTCTGACAACCCCCCCCCCCCCCAAATCACTCTCCCCACATAGTGACCTACGGTTGCAGAATTCCAAGTGAACCTCCGTACGTAAAATCTCCTCTTATCCACGAATTGGTTTTTAAAATTATTTTCAACATACACTTCAAGCACAAAAATATTATTTTGGCTTTCAAAACTTCGAAGATCAATTATTTTTCTATTTTGTTAACCGACTAACTCATTGTTTTGGAAATTTTTCCTACATTCGGAAGGCAAAGCTTAGCAAGAACATTCATATAAGATTAGATGCAGAGCAATTATCTCAAAGTGAAAAAATTATTCTGCAGTCCAAAAAAGTTGATTTAGTGGAAATCATTATGACTACCACATTGAGCTTTTTGCTTTGAAAGTTTAATTTGCTTTTATTTAGCTTGTAACTTTACTAATGATATGAATCGGAGATTACAACTTTGAATTCTTCGCCAATATATAATTGATTAGGTTAAAAAGCGATCAGATAATTCTTGAATACGATTTCGTAATAAAATTTTGAATGCGAGGTGTATGCATTACTTGTGTAAAAGTTTTTTCACCTGTTTTGTTTACCTATGATCGTGTCTTTAGTTACATATTTTGATTCAATCTTCGACAAAAGTACTTCTAATCACGGGCTTTTGACATATATAGAGCCAAAAAATTCGAAAGACCCAAAAAACAATAAGGTTCCGATTTTTTGCAGTTTGAATTGCTTTTGGGGCATTTTGAGCTTTATAGGCTGGAAAGTTATTTATAAGACGGGAGAGATCCGTTTATTTCTCGAAGAGTTATTTGTAACTAAGGAGCCACATGTTTCACATTTTTGAGAGCTAAGATGAATGGTTCGTTTTCAACATACTTTCGAGATTTCAGGAATTCTAAACTGTTTCTTGAACTCTAAATTTATTGTTGCGACTTTCGTAACGAAAGTAACGGAATATTTGTGCTCGGGTTGATTTTTTTCTCCAAAGAAATTTTGACTTTTTTCTAGCTATTTTTCATGGAAGTTTTCTTTCCATCATTCAAAAAGTATTGTTGTCCTGAGCATAAATTTGGGAAGGAACTTCACCTGTGATCTTTTTTTTGTAGAACTATGGAATTTAAAGATTGCCATTTTCCATTTTAGCCCATTCAGGACAATTAACGGGCTATATCCTTCGCGCTATTAAAGCATAAGCGGAGAGTTAATCCGTCTTAGAAATCTTTCTCAATTATTTGAACGATTTTTACTATGAGCGAAATCTATCACTTTGTACTTTGTATGGCGTGTGGAGGATGATTTTAACAAAAACTCTCAAATTTTAATTTGTTTTTCTTCATTTTATTTTAATACATTTAATTTTTTCATGTTATTACTGCTCTGGCCTTAAAAGACAGTCGGAACATTCAGGGTTTGAGCAGTCGTTTTGAATTTTTTTGCTACTTTAATGGCTGGTTCATTTTGAGGTCGTTTCACTTTATGTTTTCAGGCGATTTAACTGAAACACAAACTATCGAGAACATTGTCGGAGAAACTATCAAAATGTTTGGAAAAATAGACATTTTAATTAACAACGCTGGCTGGGTTTTTGGATTATTGCCAATCTTTGACCAGACAATTGATAACTTCCAGCAAACTTTTGACCTCAATGTCAAAGCTGTTGTCATTCTAACTAAACTATGTCTTCCCTATTTGCGAGAATCGAAAGGAAGCGTCATCAACGTATCATCTACAGGAAGCGTCCGAAATTTCGATAAATTTGCGTTCTATTGTATGAGCAAGACGGCTCTGGATATGTTTACTAAGTGTCTGGCAACTGAGGAAGGCAAAAATGGAATAAGAGTTAACTCTGTCAATCCAGGATTTGTGGATACAGGTAATCACCTCTAAAAAGATCGGATTGTTTTCATCCCACTTGATTTAATGGTTAAAAATTTGCAAAAATGTACTGCCGAATGCTTTTAGTTTATAATGTTATCGCAACTTTTTGTGACATCAGCTTACTTGATGGAAGCACTTCATAAAAGAATAAAAAAGCGCTCCAGGTATTTAAACAATTTTGGATGTTGCTCTGCTTAAAAAGCTGTAACATGGTATTTTGATCTGCCAAAGACTCATAAACGTCAAATTGTTTCCTTCGCCGAACAATTTCTAAAACTTATTTCTGCGTTAAACGTCCACAATTCTCAAAAATTCGTTTTTTTTTGGTTTGTGCAAACTGGAAGAGTGGTGGTTTTATACCATTCATGACCTGTTATAACCTGGATGCGTTGAAGTATTCCCTTTGGTGCAATTCACGATTTCACGTGAGCTGATACTTTTGTTATACCACTGAGTCGTCGCTCTCCTTAAGTTTGACGAGTTGTTTATTGTTGAGGCGAGTTGCCGTGGTATCACAGTGATGATCACCCCCTAGTCCCCTAGGCATGCTACATTTACCAGCCAGCAAGTTATATGGAGAAAATCAAAACTTAGCATTCAGAGAAACTTAGCATATTTTTTTGTTCCGACTTTCGTAACGAAAGTAACGGAATATTTGTGCTCGGGGTCGGGGTGGTTTTTCTTCAGACAATTTTCGACTTTTTAACTAGTCCTTTATGACGGCATTTTTTATATCATTCAAAAGGCATTGTTGTTTTGAGTTAAAATTTGAAAGATAATTCCCCAGTGATAATTTTTTGTAAAGTTATGGGGGTTTAAAGTTTACGATTTTGGTCAATTTGGGACAATTAATACGCGTTCAATTTGCGCTATGAACGCCTAAGTGGAGAATTAATCCGTTTTAGAAATCGTTCCAAATTGGTTGAAGACTTTGTACTTTATATGGCGTGTGGGGGGATGGTTTTCGCAAAAAGTCTCAAATTAAAAAAAAAGTTCTTTGTTTTTCGTTTTATTTTAATAGATTTATTTTTTCATGTTATTTACTGCTCCATAGACCTGAAAAGGCAGTCGGAACCTTCAGTACTTCGCCCCGATACGAGGAGTCTTTAATTTTGCAATAAAGTATATCTACAGAATTTAACCATACAATGTTAACTTTTGCATAACGAATTCCATGCAAAAAAGTACAACCAGAGAAACGAAATTACCTCTGAAACTGATATTGCAATTGATTTTGAGTATATCTATTCCTTCCAAGCATTGGAAAAAAAATGCATTGGAAAGCTCACCGTAATCTATTCTCACTGAAGGATGAGCAACCTTATTTCTTAACCTAAAACAGCTGATCGAACAATTTTTGGTAACTTTTTTTAAATCTGAAAAGAATGGTCTCAAAAACTCTTTCAAGCAGATTTTTCTAGTCTAACTTGTAAAACAAGCCCCCAATGAAATGACTGTTCCTGTTTTTAGGCATCCATGAAAGGTGTGGGATGCCTCGTTCTGCGGTTGATGAAGCCGTTGAAAATTGTCGGAACACCCATGCAGTCGGAAGAAGCGGAACTACAGAGGAAATTGCGAACATGATCGCGTTCATTGCAAGCAAGGAATGCTCTTTCGTCACTGGGAACATTACAATGGTGGACGGGGGACTCAATTGCACAAATCCACTTTGGTAGTGAATAATTGGCCCGTGTGCACGATTATGAAATACTAATTGACTGAAGTAACATTTGGATGAAACAAAATGAACTCTACCCGCTCTTCTCCTCTTCCTCCTCATTCTTTAAACTGGAGTGGGATACCCGAGTCAAAACTCGTGCATAAAACTTTCCATGAGAAATGTATAATAAAATCTCACCCAATTTTCTGTTTTCTGTAGAGAAACTATTGATTTCTCTTCTTATAATTGATATAAAATTTTCTGATTATGCTAAATTTGATTCAAATTACAGAGTGGTAGACCAACAGTGGATTAACAGAACTTGAGTTCTTGTTTCAATATTACTTTGCCTTTTTCGTGGATGGGCCCAGTTTGTGGAATAAGTATAGGTATACGGTTCAAGAAGTACAGCGGTATACGGTTCAAATAAACTAAATTATCTGCATACCCGGGATGACCAAAAATACTAGTCATACAATTTCCATATATAGAAAAATGCTAGTCATACACTTTCCATACAATTCCATACGTACAGAAAATTGCATGAAAGGTCTATGATTAGTATTTTTTCATATATGGAAATTGTATGACTAGGATTTTTCCATAAACCAAAAATATTGATTTTTTACATTTTAATTTCTCAAAACTTTTTGGTTGTGTTCGTAAGCGAACACAAATGACATAAACCTGGATTACTCAACCGTAGTAACATAAGGTTTGACCGTCTCGCATTAAGGATGCATTGGAAACAGCCTGACATGTGTTACTTCTGTCTCACACAAATAATATAGCGAAAGTAATGAACTTTTAAATTTTGGCAATATTTTTCCAAGATGTTTATTTCTAAAATTTGAATTTTTAAATTACCAGACATTGATCAAGGCATACAAAAACATGTCATACAAAAGAAAGAGGAGTTTTAAGCATTTTTGAAAAAAGTTATGAAGAGAAAAGGAAAAAAATCCAATATTAGTATATCCAGGACTACGTTATACACACAAAAAATTAAATTTTGCATGCAAAATTTTTTTTTCAAAAAATGTTTGTTTGAATACGAAAATCAATTTGCGGTTGAAAAAAACACAAAAAAAATTTTTGGGGGCAATTTCATTGTCGTCGCCATCAAAAAAATGCTAGTCATACAATTTCCATATATGGAAATTGTTTGACTAGTGTTTTTTGTTTCAGAAAACAAAAACAAAAAAAGTCAAACTTTTCAGTTGTAGCAGCCCAAAAAACGCTTAAATGCTTTGCCAGCAGTTGAATTGATTGTTCGAAGCTTTTTTTCTCAAAACTTTCTTTGAAAAAAATGCTAATCATGCAATTTCTATATATAGAAATTGTATGAGTAGCATTTTTTCATGCCATTTTTTTATGAAGAGATACCAATTTCGATACCAAAACAACTATAAAATACCTTTAAAATTCGATTAAACTGTCTTTGCAAAAATGTATGAAATTTGTATGACTAGCATTTTTCCATAGACTAAGTGTATGAAATTATATGATTAGCATTTTTGGTCTATGGAGGTCAACCCGGGTAATCACAAACAAAGATTTTCAAACGCAGTTTCTGAAAGTATTACGTCCACACAATATAGTCCAATTTTAACTCTTGAATAAAACATGTTTTGAACAGAGCTAATCTTTCAAATCAAACTAATCTTAGTTGTAATTTCATATTTGTGAAGATTGTGAAGGTTTGTGCATTCTACTGAAAAATAGTTTTGAGAAAAACAATGGCCGACTCTTCGCCATTATTCACTGGCAGTGAGGTTGTAATAGTTACTGGCGCTAGTTCTGGCATCGGGGCAGTCACAGTGGTCCGGCTGGCTCAGAGGGGAGTGAGGAAGTTCTGTTTGACCGGCAGAAACGAACAAGGACTGCAGAAGACGAAAGACACTGTCATCCGGGAGGCCACTAAAGATGCGGTGTTTGTTGATGTCCTAGGTTTGAAACATGACTATTCTAATTTAATTGTAAAATGTTTTAGTAATTCAAAATGTAAATAGACTGCGCGAGCAATCAGTTAACGCGGTGTTAATTATTTTAAAATTTTCATTTCTTGCGGTTACAATTGCAATGAGAACAATCATTAGCGGTTTTAGGGGAAAGGGGGTTCGGAAACTTCTCTCAAAGAATCCCCCGCCGACCTAACGGGCCCCTTTTTGTTCTGTTTTGAGATATAAAATTTGAGAGATAAAATTTTTCTAAAATTCAGCATATACTAATTTGAGGAGCGCGCCCAAAAAAAAACGCAATTTTTTGTCAAAACTGTCCAAAAAGTTCATAAAAACGCTTTTTTTGGCCTGTTGTTTTAAAAAATTGCTTGCGACGCAGAAAATTTAGTCGGAATAGAATCTTAACTTTAAATTGGGAGAGCTAAACAAACGTAAGCGAACACAAATGACATAAACCTGGATTACTCAAACGTAGTAACATAAGGTTTGACCGTCTCGCATTAAGGATGCATTGGAAACAGCCTGACATGTGTTACTTCTGTCTCACACAAATAATATAGCGAAAGTAATGAACTTTTAAATTTTGGCAATATTTTTCCAAGATGTTTATTTCTAAAATTTGAATTTTTAAATTACCAGACATTGATCAAGGCATACAAAAACATGTCATACAAAAGAAAGAGGAGTTTTAAGCATTTTTGAAAAAAGTTATGAAGAGAAAAGGAAAAAAATCCAATATTAGTATATCCAGGACTACGTTATACACACAAAAAATTAAATTTTGCATGCAAAATTTTTTTTTCAAAAAATGTTTGTTTGAATACGAAAATCAATTTGCGGTTGAAAAAAACACAAAAAAAATTTTTGGGGGCAATTTCATTGTCGTCGCCATCAAAAAAATGCTAGTCATACAATTTCCATATATGGAAATTGTTTGACTAGTGTTTTTTGTTTCAGAAAACAAAAACAAAAAAAGTCAAACTTTTCAGTTGTAGCAGCCCAAAAAACGCTTAAATGCTTTGCCAGCAGTTGAATTGATTGTTCGAAGCTTTTTTTCTCAAAACTTTCTTAGAAAAAAATGCTAATCATGCAATTTCTATATATAGAAATTGTATGAGTAGCATTTTTTCATGCCATTTTTTTATGAAGAGATACCAATTTCGATACCAAAACAACTATAAAATACCTTTAAAATTCGATTAAACTGTCTTTGCAAAAATGTATGAAATTTGTATGACTAGCATTTTTCCATAGACTAAGTGTATGAAATTATATGATTAGCATTTTTGGTCTATGGAGGTCAACCCGGGTAATCACAAACAAAGATTTTCAAACGCAGTTTCTGAAAGTATTACGTCCACACAATATAGTCCAATTTTAACTCTTGAATAAAACATGTTTTGAACAGAGCTAATCTTTCAAATCAAACTAATCTTAGTTGTAATTTCATATTTGTGAAGATTGTGAAGGTTTGTGCATTCTACTGAAAAATAGTTTTGAGAAAAACAATGGCCGACTCTTCGCCATTATTCACTGGCAGTGAGGTTGTAATAGTTACTGGCGCTAGTTCTGGCATCGGGGCAGTCACAGTGGTCCGGCTGGCTCAGAGGGGAGTGAGGAAGTTCTGTTTGACCGGCAGAAACGAACAAGGACTGCAGAAGACGAAAGACACTGTCATCCGGGAGGCCACTAAAGATGCGGTGTTTGTTGATGTCCTAGGTTTGAAACATGACTATTCTAATTTAATTGTAAAATGTTTTAGTAATTCAAAATGTAAATAGACTGCGCGAGCAATCAGTTAACGCGGTGTTAATTATTTTAAAATTTTCATTTCTTGCGGTTACAATTGCAATGAGAACAATCATTAGCGGTTTTAGGGGAAAGGGGGTTCGGAAACTTCTCTCAAAGAATCCCCCGCCGACCTAACGGGCCCCTTTTTGTTCTGTTTTGAGATATAAAATTTGAGAGATAAAATTTTTCTAAAATTCAGCATATACTAATTTGAGGAGCGCGCCCAAAAAAAAACGCAATTTTTTGTCAAAACTGTCCAAAAAGTTCATAAAAACGCTTTTTTTGGCCTGTTGTTTTAAAAAATTGCTTGCGACGCAGAAAATTTAGTCGGAATAGAATCTTAACTTTAAATTGGGAGAGCTAAACAAATTGATTTGGTCGACTTGAAAAAATGTCCACAGTTTTCAACATTCCGCGACATTAACAATTTTTAGCTCTCTGCTGTCTTGGAATCAACGAACAAATAATTAAAACATTGTATTGCTCAAAATTGCTCCTAAAATGGCCGATCTTGCGTATTCCGCAACAAAACTTGCCGAATTCGGAACAGTTTGTGAAATCCACACACAAATCTCATTATATGTATATTTAAAACATCTGCTGTCGCGGAATTTGTATTTGTAAGCGGAACTTGTAATTTGTAAGTGAAATCCCCAGTTTTTTGCGGAATCCAAAAACAAAACTAATTACGTCTTGGAAATATTTTAAAACCGACTTTGTTTTTTGTTGGTACCAGCGAGACTTTCTAGCAGTTCAATCTCATTTCCTGACAACAGTTCAATCCAGGTTTTTTCAATCTCAATCAATGCCAACAATTCAATCTCTTTCACTGACAACAATTCAATCCAGCTAAAACTCACCAGCTAAATCTCAAATACTGAAAGAATGAAAACCGAAAGAATGAACGCCTCTTTTACCTCAAGTACTGAACCAATGAAAACCGCATGAAACGTAAAAGTTTTTAATTAAATTTATGTCAGGCGTTTATTCTTTTCTGAACTTTTTTTCGAGCTTCAGTTGGAGTTAACAGATAAGGAGTTAGAAATTAGGTACAGAAACTGGTTACTTCAATCTTAAGTTGATAGGTTTTTTTTTCATTTTTCAGGTGATTTGATTGAAGCTCAAACAGCCCAGAAAATTGTCGACGATACTATCAAAGCGCTTGGAAGAGTCGATATCCTAATAAACAACGCCGGTTGGACGTTCGGAATGACGCCGATCTTCGAACAGTCGATTGAAAACTTCCAGAAAACGTTTGACCTGAATCTCAAAGCAGCCGTTGTTCTGACCAAATTGTGTCTCCCTTACTTGCGGGAATCTAAAGGAAACGTTGTAAATGTCTCCTCGGTAGGAAGTGTTCAGAACTATGATAACCTCTCGTTCTACTGTATGAGCAAGGCGGCTCTGGATATGTTCACCAAATGTCTGGCTTCTGAGGAAGGCAAAAATGGCATCAGGGTTAACTCAGTCAATCCTGGATTTGTGGATACCCGTAATCTTTTTTCGAAAAAGTTATTCTGTAATTTTATCCAATTTTTCAGGAAAAGCCTAAAATTGTTTCCGACTTTATTAATTTTTTTATTGAACTGACTTGCTCGGAATTTTGTTGACGGTGCATTTTGACAAAAAAACTTTGTCGTTTTTTCGACCATTTGGCCACATCGGCAATTGATCTAATTGATAAAGAAAACCCCCGAGCCAATATTTCTTTTGTTTTTTCAAGAACGAGAAGAAAAAATCACGTACAATTAATTTCTAATCTTGCGACTAAAAACGTTTTTTAAAAGTGGATAGTGACTCCGCCAATCAATACAGAGGATTTTTGCTCAAGATAGCGCGGTGCATGCCTATCAAAGATTGAGTTTTTCTCAGCCAAACCATTGTTTGTTTCTTAAAACAAGAATCCTTATGTAGATGGTTTAATTTTGGTAGGACCAACTGCGTGTGATATATTCGACTCAGATTCCAACTTGGAGCCAATTTAGCTCCGCCACACTTACCCCTTTTTGGGGGTCGGATATTTGCTCGATCCTGAAAACCTACTCTTTAAATCTGCTTTTGTTTTTACGAGGTATCCATGTGAAGTGTGGGATGCCCCAGTCTATGGTGGAGGCTGTGATTAAGAATTGTGCAAACACCCATTCAGTGGGAAGAAGCGGAACTGCCGAGGAGATTGCAAGCATGATCCCATTCCTTGCTAGCAAGGAGTGCCCTTTCGTCTCTGGGAACATTACAATGGTGGACGGGGGCCGCAATTGCTATAACCCTCTGTAAACAAGCACTGAAAATCATGTTAATAAAAAAAACCGATTACGTGAAAATAACTTTTGACTAGTTATTCAACAAACTGTTTCAAATTTGAAAAAATACTACGACTGATGGATACAGTGCTGATTTAAATTAACCGGACAAAACGCGTTAAACTTGAAATTTAAAAACGTTTTTCTCAAATTGGGTTGAGTTTAGGTGAAAACTTATGAAGACAAAACTTGCTTAAAATTTTAGCAGAATTAGTATGGTGTAATTTGTTTTGCGAAATTCGGGCCGGAAATTTTACCTCAAAAATGGGTCATTTTGGCTTTTCTTAGTTAATCAGAAATTACGCTCAGTCTGTGATCGACTGGGGTATTTTTGGCGTAATTTCTGATTAACTAAGAAAAACCAAAATGACCCATTTTTGAGGTAAAATTTCGGGCCCGAATTTCGCAAAACAAATTACACCATATTAATTCTGCTAAAATTTTAAGCAAGTTTTGTCTTCATAAGTTTTCACCTAAACTCAACCCAATTTGAGTAAAACGGGTTTTAAATTTCAAGTTTAACGCGTTTTGTCCGGTTAATTTAAATCAGCACTGTACCAATGGGTCAGATTGTTTGAATAATTAGAATTACCCAAAGTAGTTCTCCACTAAATTTTTTTTAGTTCGACCAAATTGATTTTCCGAGCTTTTCTGAATCACTATTAAAAAATCTCTTTGAGCAATTTTTCTTCGCAGCAAAGATATTTTAGACAAAATAGGCCAAAAAAGCGTTATTAGGTACAAGTTGAAAAGTTTTGACCAAAATGTTCCCCCTCAAAATTAATTTAGTGGCGCCAAAAGCGTCTTTTGAAAAACTTAAGGTCCGTCAGTTCAAAAATTAGTAGAAAAAGGGCGCCCTTTGGGTGGTCAGGGGTTCGATTATGCAATACTAGATGAATTATAGGCAATACTTTTATAGGCAATAAATTATAGGCAAAATTATAGGCAAAACTTAAAAAAATCGGAAGAAAATCTTTCTACCAATATTCTTGAAAATAAACTGATAACCTGCTTCAAAAAAAAAACATGAAATGAAAAAACATAACAGCTGAGACTTCAGTAAAGATACGCTTGTTTTCGACAAAAAAAAATCGTTTTCCAAAAAAAATTGCGATAAAAGTTTGTTTTTTACTCCGACGAAAAAAATTTTCACGGGATTTTTTCGCAACGAAAGGCTTCCGCAGTATGAAAAAGAAAATTTAAGGACGGTTATACCACGTCAGATCGTTTGTTTTTGTTTTCGCCACAAACGTAGCATTTTTGCTACAATGCATTGCTTTTTCAGCTGCTCTCATACTTTCTTTCTGGCCAAACATCATTAAAAAAACATAAACTATAGTTTTTTTTCAAAGTGATTACAAACATCAATCGAACTGCTCATATAACAAGGCGAAGCACTGAATAATCTGACTGCATTTTTAGGGGCCATTTTTTTCATTTTATCTTCCACGCAGTTTTTAAAGTACAACGCGATGTATTTAGCAACTAGCATCCTGAAATCTTGACCTAATGACTTGCCTCAACTCAATTTGGAACGATTTACTAAATAACGCGTGTTTTGAGAACGCAACATATCGCGCATTAGTTATTCCAAACTGGTCAAGTTAGCAATTTTCATACCCCCACAACGCTTTGTTAAATATCGAAAACTGACTGAATTAAAAAACCACTTCAGGCATGAATATTCAGTTTTTTTTCGAAAATTGGAAAAACAACGGAAAATTTGCATAATATGAAACTCATAGCTGATACAGCGCTAAAAAGTTTTGGTTCAGAATTAATTGATTGTTTTTTTAATTGTCATCAATCTCAACAACAGGGCCACAAGGCTAAAAAGTCCCATTGGTCAAAACGTATATCATGCGACCAATCGAATAATTTTATCTCACGGTTCTTACACCAAATTTTTCTAGCGTTAATTGAAGAGTGCGGCATTGCTTTGTGAAAAAGCGTACATCATTCGACCATTCGATTAATTTTATTTCACGGTTTCACACCACATTTTTCTAGCGCTGATTGAAGAGTGCGTTATTGCCAGATTGCAAAGTACCGGCATTGGAGTCCCATGAATAAAAATCGATTATAGTTGAGTTTCCTTGTCAGTTTCCACAAAAGTGAAAACAAATCGATTATAATCAATTAAAAATGGATTGTAATATTTCTATTTTTCGAGGCAACAAAAGCCTTTTTTCATCCATTAGAATCGATTTTTTTTTTTCATTTTTGTGGACACTGACAATGAAACTAAATTATAATCGATTTTTTTCCACTTTACTGAGATGCGAATTTCAACGCACATAAAGTCTTTTCTACGTTTTGAATTAAAATTAATTACGTTGGTTACTTGTTGTTCAATTGAAGTCTTTTCTACCTAACTTTGATATTTTTGTTACTTTTTATATTACTCAACATTCAGGTGGGGGGGGGGTGTGGTTCCAGGTGAGGGGTGTGGTTTCAGGTGGGGGGGGGGGTTCATGTGGGGGTGGGTTTAGGTGGAGGGATGTGAGTTCAGGTGGGGGTGAGTTCAGGTGGGGGCGTGTGGGTTCAGGTGAGGGGGGGGGGGTTCAGTGGGGCAAACGTTAGGGGGATTGAAGGGGAGCAAAGGGGCAAACGTTGGGGGGGGGGGGGGGGGGGGGGAAGAGCTAAACGGAATCTTTTTGCAATTTGAGTTTAGGTTTTGAAATGGATTAGGCCAGGCCGTACACTCGCTTTGCAAAGTTTCCGCATCACTCACTTGATAAATGCAGAAATTCTTGCAAAACTTTGCACGACACGCGAAACAAAAATAAAGTGGAAAAAATCCATTTTATTGTGATTTCCTACTTATTATAAAATCCATAATAATGGATTCCCAATGAATTATAATGCTTTTTGTTTCGACGAGAAAAAATGGATTTAAATCTAGTTTTCGTCCAGTTTGGTTGTCTGAACGTAACATGGTAATCGATTATATTTACAACATTATAGGCCATGAAAAACCATTTTAATCGATTTGTTTTCACTTTTCTTAAAAGCGGGTAAAACGTTTACAAAGTGATCTGGTAATGCCGCACTCTTTGATCGGCGCTTGAATAATTTGGTGGTCGTAAAATCAGTCTGCAAATTTAGTAAAGAACGCAGTGACGCAAAACTTGCTTGAAAGATGAAACGAAATCCTTCATTCAGCTTTTTGTTCTGTCTTTTACCTAGAGTATAAAAAGTTGTTGATTTAAGACCTGAATACTAACTTATAAAGTTATAAACATTTACGCGAAATCTTACAAACGCGAAATTGCGTGGTGTTTACTGTATGAGATGTAGTTTTTGTTCCGACTTTCGTGACGAAAATAACGGAATATTTGTGCTCGGATGAGTTTTTTTTCTTCAGACAAACTTCGTCTTTTTAACTAGCCATTTTTGACGGATTTTTTTTAAAATCAATTAAAAAGTATTGTTGTCCTGAGCCTATATTTGAAAAGAGATTTTACCTGTGATATTTTCTCCTAAAATTATGGGGGTTCAAAGATTGACGTTTTGGGCAATTTGGGACAATAACGCGCGATAAATTTCACGCGATTAACGCGTTAGCGAACATTTAATCTGTCTTGAAATTGTTCTAAATTGGTTGAAATAAGCTTCTTTGCTATAACTGATTGGTTATTAGGAGCAAAATCTGTCAAAATCTGGTGAGTGGGGGGATGAAGTTCACAAAAAACCTCAATTTTTTTTTCATTTTATTTTATTACAATTCATTTTTTTATGTTATTACTGCTCCATAGGCCTTAAAAGACACTGAGAACATTCAGGGCTTCGCCCTCATACGAGCAGTCTTGTTTTTATTTTGTGGCAAATTGCGGTCGAATACATTTCATTCGAACTTTCATGCTTACTCTCAGAACGTAACTGATTTTATTATAAACCGGCATAAAACCGAGGTTTGCGCAATCCTTTAAATCTAGCTGAGGTTTTTTTATTTTTATTTTTTGCAAAAACAAACCTGATATTACCGGATTCGATCCCAGGCATCAAAGCAAAAGTCATTTTCTTACGCGATTTTAGTAGATTTGTCGACTAACAACACTATGCTTGCAAGCTCATTTTAGTAAATAAAAACAAGTTAAATAGATATTCTAGATTACCAACCCCCTGAAACTAAATCAGAAATAGTACAAGTTTATATTGACTACGATTTTTTGCCCACGTTTACCAAAAGTGATTAACGAATCAGTTGAGGAAGTACCTATTTTTGTTCGCTTTGGAACTTTAAAACGTGCAACATATCACATTTTTCTACATTTATAACAGAAAAAACCGGATCGGTTATGCGACTAATAGGTTTGCTTTTTTCACTCTGAAACTCATATTTGGGTTAAAATGATGTGAATTTCGGAGAATCTGATCGAAGAATTCTTGTGAGAATCTGGCTCATGACTGCATATAATTGAAACCAGTTTCAAATGGTTGTAATCATGCCTCAAGTACAATTGAGGGTATGGGGGCAGATTGATCCGGATTTACTTACGATATATCAATTGATTGAAATTGACATTTACTAAATCAATCTGATTTCTTGTAGAAAAAACACACGTTATAAAAAAATTGGAACAAATGAAAAAATTTAACTCTGACACATACAAATACACGAAGCTTCTTAAATAAACGTTTTGTGTTTTGTTTTTCGTTTTTTTTTTTCAGAATGAAATTTGGAAACTTTTTTTGACCAGTTTTCTAAGATTAAAAAAGCAGATCCACGAGTGAAATTTCATTTGAGAAACTAACTGCTTACAATGCACTTTCAATTAAAATGAATGGACAAACATGAAAAATATTAAATTTTTTCAAGAGTTATACACAGAGGCGAAGCTGAATTTTGCATGACTTGCAATCCAACACAAACATAAAACAAAGCATAATAAATAGACAAAAAAAAGAAATCTATTTAAAAAAATAAAGAAACCTAAGGACCCAGTAAAAATTGCAAATACCTATTAAATT